TCAGTGGGAGTCGTGAAGTAGGTCTTACTGTGGGCTCGAACCCACGACCTTCAGGCCCAAAGGCCAATGCTCTACCAACTGAGCTACTGTCGCCCCTAGTCTGGATATAATGCTATACAATAAAAAGTTTACTTGCAAGGTTTTCAAAGCAGACATTGCGTATCACAGCAGCACCTCGGTAATGCACGAACATCTGAAGAGAAAGCATGAGAGAGTCTAAGATCCCGGAGCGTGGCCGCTTTGTAGTGAACACAGCGGTTCTGTGAAGCTGCTTTGATAACAGCACGGCGAGTGCACGGCCAAAGCGAAGCCATAATGTGACCAGCGCGGACAGGACAAGTGCGGATCTTGGTACAACCTGTGAACGCGATAAATACAGCGCTGTGAGAAATACAGCTGCACTATGTGAGCCTCTGGAAATGTCCCCCGTGTCTCCTCCTGTAGCCCTGAAACAAACTCACTAAATTAAAGCTGGGGTACCTAAATTTCCCTTGTATTCATAATGCAAGTTGGTAGTGCCCAAACGTAAAATAAATAACTATTAAAAACACAAGGAGTCTTGTTTTTTTATGTAGTTTTTTTGCATGATTAAGAGAGAACCATTTTAGTCAATATTTTACTTTTTGGGCTGAGAGCAGGTTTTTTTAGCTCAAAAGATGTAAGGAAGAGGGCGCGAAATGCTGTCCTGTACCTAAGAGGGGCCTGGCAAACAATAATTGAGAAGCAATGGTATAGACCAGCCATTCCCAAACTCAGTAACACCGAGGCCCCCTTAAAAATCTGACGGGTCTGCGTGGCCCCCCAAAATAATAACCAAGAAGACAACATTAAGAATAGGCTCTTCTGGTTATTTTATTTTGGGGAAATAGCCTCTGCTACAAACATTGTAATACAAAAATGATTACAGTGGATTATTCAAGTCAAATAATGAACACAAATATTTTAATATTACAAACAAAACATTATAAATTTAACATTAAATAATTATATTATTTTTTTTATTTTTTTTATGACCTCCCGCGGCCCCCCTGCAGTACCCTCGCGGCCCACCAGGGGGCCGCGGACCCCACTTTGGGAGACACTGGTATAGACCATTGCTTCTCAATTATTGTTTGCCAGACCAAGCCATGTGCCAAATTGGTCTTAGATAGGACATTTCTGTTTACTTTTTGTATGAACCAGCAGCAAAGTAGAATAAAAGATGCATTTTTCATTGAAGTACCCATCTTTCTTGTGTTTGTTATCATTTGCCACATAATTAAAGCAACTTCAGGCTAAATATAAGAAGAAATGTCTTTATCCGATTAGTCGACTAATCGTTTCAATAGTCGGTGACTACTGTACGTTGAGGTGGGTCCAAAACAAGCACGTATAACACCCACAACTTGATCAAATATATGAAAACTTGTATAGCAGCAAAGTATAGCGCCTTTGCTAGCACCGGTATTTGGGAATGGCAAGTACTCAAATTAAAAAGGAAAGAAATTCGTTTTTAAATATGCATGTATCACAATGTCACTCTCAATTCATTTTGAGCTTTGCACACAGTAGCGTGGCTCAAGTACGCTAATTAAATGTTTAAATCCAACGTTTTCCACCACCGCATAAGGCTGCAGATCTGCTGCTATAAATAATCCTGTCAATATAAATTGATGCATCATTTATACATAGTTCCTACATGACGTCACTACATACGGGGATTTGCCGACCCGGCGCCATTTGTGTTGGCATTCTGTGGGCAAAACAATAGAAAAAGAAGCTGAAACGTGTTAATGTCGTGATAAAGTTGAAAATGGTCATCTCCTGCTGGGTCAATGGATGTTCAAATCGTGCCGGAGGTTCCGTTAAACTTGGATTTTACAGTATACCCATCATTAGACTTCATGAATGTGAGAAGACTAAGCTTTTGTCAGAACAACCACGGAGGTTATGGCTTGCGAAGATAAAACAGGCAAGAAACTCCCTCAAAACACGCAAGAATATGCTCGGAGCACTTTGTGTCAGGTGCGTATCGTATCTTATAATGTGTTGACAGACGTAATTTACTCAGTACTAACTTGTGTATGCTGATATCTGGTAACTTGAGAGTTTCATTATTTAGATTACTTTATTATGAGGAGGATCGGTGTCGCGTCCGAGGCTCTCGAGGGCAACGTAAATGTATTAAATAGATAATAATAGTTCTATGGTGGGCTAAAACAATGTTCACAAACAGCATTGCTTCTGTAAAAAGATCTGTGTCATAAAATAAACTGCTCTTTACGCCTGGAAAAATCAGTTGCCCACCATTCACCAAAACATACGGTCAAAAACGCGGAAATAAACAATAACAGCAATCCAGAGTGTCCGTGTGGCATTAGCATTAATTAAATTAATTGTTAATATAATTAAAATAATTAAATGGAGCTCCAACTGGTATTAAATCTAAAGTTTTTGAGAAATGTTTGCATTGCTTGTTAATTTTTGCTGCATAATTTGATCAAATATGTAAAACATGTCCGTAGCACGTTAAACTGTGGTGCCATTGTATTAATATACAATTATTTGCTCAAAAGTTGCCCTTTTTTTCCAATTTGCGTTTGAATATCTACATTTATTCTCATTCTTCTGTTTAATGGAATGCACAAACACAGCAGCGTGCCATCAAAGATGGCGTCTCCGAGGAGGTCATGTGACATTCATTGGTCTGTGGGAACTATGTATACACAAAGTTAAGAGATAAGAATCACTTGCGGGTTAAAAACCAAACTCTCTACAGTCTATGCTCTCTACTCCTCTTCCTTGACTGCTGCACCGAGAGCCAAAGCGATTTCCTAGTCTATGACTTCCTGTTTTTTAGATAGCAATAAAAATGATTCTGAAAAGTCCTTTACTGAAACATGGACGAAGCCTGGAGAAGGACTTGAAATACTATTCTATTTTCACAAAGTAATGATTCAGATATAATTTATTTTCCATTTGCAGTAAAACCACATTGGAATACAAATGCTAAAGTACCCCAGTGTACACCAGACAAGTATATAAATAAAACAAGCTAAAAAGAACAAGAAACCATTTTCACAGTGAAACCAATCAACAAAAATAGACACCAGAGTTCCTCCTGCAGTGCCCTGTCGTGGCGCCATCATTTAATTAGTGCCTCAGACCTCTATCTTCAACTGCTTCCACTGTTTTTAAATCTGCAAGTCAGTCTAATCTCTTTTTCTGTCATGGCCTAATCCTTGAAGATTATTACTAATATAAAAGGGGGTGTGGGGTGACAGCGGCTCAGTTGGTAGAGATTGGCCTTTTAGCCTGAAGGTGGTGGGTTTGAGTCCATCATGAGACCTTCTCCACTGACTCCCACTGGGGTCTGCCGTCTTTGTGTCCTTGGGCAAGACACTTAACCCCACTTTGTCTGAAGCCCCCACTGAAAGATCAAGGCTGTGTCTTTGATGAAGAATGGATGGATGGAGAAAGGGGGTGTTCATAGAGCTTCAGAAAGCCTTTGATACTAATAAACCATATTGTTTCAATGAACAAATAAAAATAAAAGGTGTTTCACAGCGGTCTGCTGCGGTGGGACAAAGTAATTGTTTGGCAGGTCACAAGTTTATCTCAATTCATTGCCCTCAAGACCGATATTATAATACTGTAGATCCATGGTCAAGACAGGCTGCTTTGGGCCTGGGGCAGCTAGCCATCAGAAGGGGGGAGGGGGGCAAAGGTCCGAGAGGAGGGTCGGGCCAGCTGTTGGGGCGTTTCCGTTGGGCTACAAATACTACGCTAGGGGCATGGATTAGGAGTGGGGGTTACAGTAAAGTTTCAACAACCAATCAGAAAGGCTATTGAAATACGCTCTCAAAATAAACCAGCAGCACAGAATCTAGCTGGACGCACTTGTTAAACACAGTGATTCAAGTACAAGAAAATGTATTCTTTCCTAATCCAACCAGAGAACAAACACAAAGCTAACCATAAGTATTAATCAGAAGTATTCATTCAAAAAGTACAATATTGGTGGCAAGGCTAGCTGTTGGCTACACTTACTGAGCCATGCGATCATTTAACTACTCCATCCATCCATCCATTTTCTTCCCCTTAATCCATTTATAGGTCGGGGGGGTGGCAGTCAGAGCTGCACCCAGAGCACCAGCCCCTCACTGATCCTCCTGCAGGTGGTGAGTCCAAAGGAGCTGAGATCTTTCAGCGGAGGCTTCAGACAAAGTGGGGATACGTGTCTTGCCCAAGGACACAATGTCAGCAGACATCAGTGGGAGTCATGAAGTAGGTCTTGTGGTGGGGTTGAACCCACAACCTTCAGGGCTAAAGGCCAATGTTCTACCAACTGAGCCACTGACACCCCCCCCCCATTTAACTACTACCTAACAATTTAACAGTTGTTTCTTATACATGAAATGTTTACAATAAGTACTATAAGTAATGAATATATTGTCTTTTACACGTTTAACTGGGGCTGCAGAGGTGGTTGTCACTTCCACTGCTGTTTCTGTCCAAATATATTTCAGAGAAGAATGGCAATCCTAAAACATCTTAATGCCTGCACCAGAACCAGCCGCCACTCCCCAGGACCTGCGATTCCACTATTGTGAAGAGGGAACATGAGTTCATATGTTCCTTGTGTTCAATGCATGCTTTTTAACCTTTTGGTGATACTCCCAGGTTAACATTTTCACTACCAACAACTTATGCTACTTTGTTTTCCTGTGCCATCGCTTTTGCTCTAGCAAGAGATGAGTGGACCGTTTACTTCTTGTCTGACCATGAGGCATGAGACAGTAGTTTTAGGCATTCTATTGAGTTTTTTGTAGGTTGACACCAAAATTGACATTTGAAGTGCCTGTCACCATGTCTTGATGTTTATTAACCAGGTGATCTTAATATTATTTACAGGGAACATCTCATCAGCATCTGAGTAACAGCTGTAGGGTGATGACGAGTTGTAGCTTTGAGATTTCACTGTAGTTAAAATCATAATTGGCAACCTATTTTCATTTCAGTATGCTTTGTATAAGGCACTGGAAATTCCGCATGACTTTTGCAAAGTGAGTTTTCTTCTAATAGATATGAAATGTAGCCAGTACCGTATAACGTAATTGTAATGCTCTGAAATGTTGCACTTTGAACTTCACTTTACAGGAACCATCAGAAGGTGGTTTGCACAACTTCTGGATAAAGTCCCTGTGGAGAGGTATATCAATGTATCTGTGATAAAGATGTAGTTTTTGTTGCTTATAAACATGTCAATCAAAATACTCACTTTGTCCCTCAGCTCCAGGAGGATCAGTGTTCATGCCAGCTGCCCAGGAACAAGGAGCCACACAAGAGCCTGCCACACTTGCTGCCTGAAACAGTGGTCAACATAATTCGGTTGAGCCTGGAAAGTGACACAACAATGTTGCAGTCAACAGCAGACGATTTGGGCATAATTTCAGAATTCTCATTCATACCTGTGCAGGATCTGTGAAGTGGCAGGCCATGGCAGTGGGCTGGTGATGCGCCTGCTACATTTACTCTCCGGGAAAAAATGGCTAAAGGGACAACTGCAACTTGAGCACAAGAGTTATGGGAAGTATGCGATTGGTGTTGTGAAGTTTCCTTAAAGAGGGACTAACTTTTGCTTGGGTCAATAACAAATATTTGTGAAAGTGTTTTTGTGTGTAGGTACTACACTTTGAAAAGTATAAAATTACGTTAGTGTATATATGCATTGCGTGCGTAATGTCAGATTTCTTGATCTGATGAGTCATTCATTCATTTATGTGCCGATAATTGAACCTCAGTACATGTTTTGTTTTCGCTCTTAAATGTCGAAGTGAACAGTATAAAATTGATGGTTTGAAAATAATACTGTGGACTTCCGTGAACCTGGAAACATTTCTTGACATGGGCTAGGGTTTGGATATGGGGTCTGAGTATGAACAGAGAACAAGTGGGTAATAGCACAAGGAAATACGCAGACACAGGTGAAAAACATTTGGGGTAAACACTCAATGGGACAGAAAGCACAATTAAAAAAGGCAAGACAGCAGACGTGGGAACAAAATAAATCAGACATTGATAAATAAAAATACAGTAAATGCAGATACTCAACTGCTCCCTTATCTAACCTACAGTAACAAGGTCACCTACAGTAGTCATCTGGAATTGTTGTTCAGCCTCCAAAAACGGCACATAATGCATACATGTGATGTGTGTGCATCTGTGTGTCCATGCTTGTGTATGTATGATACATTTATTGTAATAAGGTATCTTTAAACAGTATTACAATGGTTAGAAAATATCTAAAGTTTATGTAAAGGCTGTTCAAAGTTCAAAGATGGACAAATGAAAAGAAACAGATGACATAACAATAGTGCATGTTGTAAGTCATTCCCTTCCTCAAAAACAGAAATCTGGATATTATGGCTTAAAAATGATGACTTGTCATTGCTTGGAGTCTTTCAGAGAGTGTTTATTAAATTACAAAGGTTATTCTTGTTCATAATAATAATAGCGTCATTACAGAACATACAGAGAGCGTACACTTCTCCAACACAAAACCGTTTTTTACACAGATGATTAACAGTTAGCCTTCCACAAAATGACCGCAAGTATGATCAACTGTACTGTAATCTTAAAGCTGTCCAAAAAAATGAAGAAAAAAAAATAAGTTCACATTTTGTAAAGCAGGGCCAGTTTGTTCAATTCATGAAAAGTGGTGGAATTTTGTTAGTTTGTTAAGAAATGGCCTTGCTGATTATCTGAAGTGTGGAAACGTTTTTGTTGATTTAAAATTACCGGACGAAATTGAGAAATTATTACCCTAACTTTGCCTTCAAAATTGTTCATTTTTCCCAGTTTGTAAACTTCTACTTGAAATATGAATGCACACCGAAGTACTAGGATATTCAAAACCTAAGGTTTGCTTTTTAAACTGGAAAAGAAGAAAAAATTAATCTTCCAAATTCATGAAATAAAACACTTTTCAAATCTTCCATTGTAACACAGCTTCATGACAACTTCTTCACTACGAATGTTCCACTTTGAATTGATTGTTGGGAAATGTATGCACTGAATCTTGATATAATAAGGTTTTAGCCAAAACAAAAAATGTATAAAATTCAGTGTTCCAGCAGTATTTAAAATTCTGAATCCCACAGTTGCATGAACGTATTTCTTTCTGAATTTCACAAACTGCCCCTATTTTCTCTACGATCCTCTTTGCGTTTTCACATTTTGAAAAACTGTTGCATCCAAAATGGTAAAAATCTCTATTCTTTTCTTTTAAAGTGAAGGGGGACACGGCTCAAATGTACAGTCCGATAGAAAGACGAAATAAAAACGACCACGAGTTTCGTCACACGATTAAAGATTTTAAAACTTTTTTTCCAAGTCCGTTTAAAAGAACAAATACATACACAGAGTTTGTATTTTTACAGCGCCTCCTCATGTCAGACAGAGGCAGGTGATTGGTCAGTTTCAGCCCAATAGGAACTTGTATTTTGGGCTGCGTTCAGACTTGGTCCAATTGAAGTGGATTCTCAAGTGAACCGAGTCCTCCAGACGGATGTGAACGCACCATTAGAGACCAGTCATCCAGTCTGTTTTTTGGGCAGGAAAAAAAGCTTATTGGTGCGGTGTTTATTGGACGATTGCTGCTCTGTGATTGGTCAGTTGTTCTCGAATAGTGAAAGCAGGTCATCGTTGTTGTTGCTAGGCAGATCGGGAGGACCCAGGTATGAAAGCAGCTCGTCCGGGTTCGTTAGCTCTGGCAGCAGCTGAAATTAAAACAAAAACAACTGGTTACTGGTTGTGTAGAAACTAGACTAGTCTTAACTACTAACATAATGTGATGGCCTTAAAGTAAAAAAAATATATATACACTGCAATATCTCAAATCCAATAGTCAAAATTATGACTATATACTGTCGTTTTACGTTCCATTATGTGAAATAATATCTTAAAAAGGTATATAGGAGGATTTTCCACTTCCGGGTGGATCATCAAGACTATTAGTCATCCCAACTGTCAATCATTCTGGTGATACGTGCTCGTCAAATAAGACCAGAGAGTTTTGTTCAAAAAGTGGAGAGGGCGGTTCTATCCTAAAATTTGGGAAAATCCTCCTATTTACCTTTTAGTACAAAATAGATAGAATAAAGGTTAAAAAAAGATAAGCTTTCTGCCTGTGAATGTGTTGACCAATGACCACAGCAATGCGGATCTAAATAAAATGATTTCATTCGCAAAATGGGAAACAAAACTCATTTATGGGCAGTACTTTAATATAAAAAGGTAGAACACTGCTCTGAGAGTGATGTCATAGAGGTACATCACACTATTACAGGACTGAGACAAAAACGGGTGGAATGAGTGTAATCTGTGAAGTAGCAGCTCTATGTTTTAAGGCTGTAAAACCCCACGCACTTTATACACTTTCCTAACCATCTGAACTCACTGCTGAAATGCGGTTGCAGAGATATCAGACCTGTTGGTTGTGGAGCGCTGCTGCAGCTGTCAACAGCCATGCATACACTGTCAAATACAACTGCAGAGGACACCGCGCTGAGGGTAGCAGCTAGTTTTAGGACTGATCAATATCTGACGATGGTCTGTCTCCTTCACTCCATAATTACAGTTCATTTAAATAGTCGTCTCGTCACTCACATCCAGAGACGGCTCCGGGACATCGCCTCCGAGTCCGAACGCTCCGTCACCGTGGAGACGGTTTTGCCCCGCCCTCTGCATCATGGGCCCGCCCCCTTGAGATCCGTTACTATGGACACCAGACTGCTGTTGCAAAGATGCACCATGGGAAGAGGAGTCCAACCGACCAGACATCTGTAAACGATAAAAAAATGTTTACCCAAACTATTATTCAATTTTATTTGTGAACCTAAACAAACCAAAAAACTGCAAATATTACTTTAACATGTTTTGACATACAGAACCACCTCGACACATTTTATCCAGTTTTAAAGTTTTCTGATAATTTCATAAAAGGTCAAATAAGTTGTATGTCAGTTACATAAATTGCACACTTAACCCCACTTTGCCCAAAAGCCCCCACTGAAAGATCAAGGCTATGCTCACACTCAGAGAGCAGCCGTCCTCCTGTGGACTCACCACCTGCAGAGGGTCAGTGAGGGGCTGGTGCTATGAGACTTGGATGGCATCTCTGACTGCCACCCCCCTGACCCAGAAATGGATTAAAGGGTAGAAAATGGATGGATGGATGGAGGGCAGGTTTATTTGTATAGCACAGGAATTAGAGAAAATGGCTATTAACTAAGACTAGAAGATTGACTTTTGACAGTTACCATAGTTACCAACTAATGTTTCAGCTACCCTCCACCACAATGTTAAACTGGCAGGGCTCCCAGTTCAAATTGTTTTATGTAATAATCTATTTTTAAAACAGGAATTTTAAAATAAAAAATATACTACATTTATCAAACATCCAATTCCAAAGTAGATTACATTTTGACTATATGAACCAGTGCAGTCTCACCTGTAGCTGTGGGTTGAGTTCGGTTTGATAGGACAGAGGGGGAGGTCCTGGAGTCCCGGGTCCAGAGCCGTACTCCGGGAATCCGGGTCCAGACTGATGTCCTGGTGTTGAGCCGGGGCCGGGACCAGGGGTGGGGTAGGACGGAGCTGAAGACAGAGGAGACATCTTTATGTTTCCGCAATCATGGTCACATACATAGAACACAGAAATAAAAGAAACAACCCCATCTACTGGTGTAAGCGGGTATAACAACTCACCACCACAACTGGAAGTCATGTAACAAATTAAAAAAAGGAAAAATTCCCCATTTGTTTTTTTACAAACACCACAGTAATTATTTGTATAATAACTATAAACCAATTCAAATTTTTAAATATGTTTGAATACAATTGTCAATCATTCTGGTGATACATGCTTATCAGAAAAGACCAAAGAGTTTTGTTCAAAAAGTGTAGAGGGCGGTTCTTTCCTAAAAGTTGGGATAATCCTCCTATATACACCTTTAAGCCATTTTATTCATTCATTTTTTGCACATTGTAAACCTGTTGTTACTTTGCTTCTATCAAGTGACTATGCATGAATACGAGCTAGTAGCAGAGTTTGGTCTGAGCAATACATTTATTGTGCAATGTCCCCGTCAACTTAATAAAAAAAAAAATAAAAAAAGCATAAATATTAATCAAAGCTCCTTCAAGACACCTCAACCGAACTACAAAAGGATGAGGAAGGAGGGTATTTTTACTGCGAGTGGAAACCATACAGTTGCTGTCAGACTGTACAACGAGAATGTGTAACAGGAACTGCTGAGTCTGTACAAGTGTCACTGATAATTCACTAGTAACTTTGTCACTAGTCACTTTACCTGTTATCAGTACTACTGTATTATTTCATATCTGATAATTCTGCCTTTCACCGTCACTTTACCTGTTGATATCTTACTGTATTATTCATATCCGTTTGATAATTCTCCCATTCAAGTCACTTTACCTGTTGATATTATTTCTGATCGAAGCAAAGGAAGGTTTCTCACCCATCATCTGTACTTCTTAGCAAGTTTTCCCGACATTTCGTCCTCAACCTAGCGGACTTCTTCAGGGAATGAATTCTCGGACCGCGCGTTGGAGATTTATAACCTATGGGTGTGGTAAACCAGGATTAGGGTGTTGCTTACCACACCCATAGGTTATAAATCTCCAACGCGCGGTCCGAGAATTCATTCCCTGAAGAAGTCCGCTAAGAAGTACAGATGATGGGTGAGAAACCTTCCTTTGCTTTGACTAATCCCTGTACGACTGAGGGCTTACACAAACTTATTATTTCTGATGTTTATTCTGCTCATATTCATATTCTCATATTCTCCGCTGCTAATGTATAATATAGACATCTGTAAATACTCCGAACCAAGTGCAATTATAGCCCAGAGTTTATCTTATTTTATTTTATTTTATCTTAAATTTATTGTCTATTATCTTAAATAATAGACTTTGATGTGTGCAATCTGAGTGCTCTTATTTCCTTTCTCTGCTGCAACGTGCGCAACGATGACACTGAAATTTCTCCACTGTGAGACTAATAAAGGTTTATCTTAAATATTAAGAGACGTGTGACGCCTACTCTCAGCCTCCACTTTCTCTTCTTTTTTTAAAACGGCTGCGAGTGGCCCCTCCCGCAGTAAAATGTGAAAAAAACGCATTCGCACATGCGTTAGCTGCACAAACCCCCTTCATCGAAAGAGTGCTTTCAAAGTCCACAGCGGCTAAACTAGGCTGGTCCAGAAAAAAACAAAAAAACTCCTCTTATTAGCGTTGAGCCAACTTTTGGACTTCTTTTTGAGAGAAAAGAATTCAGTGGATTATTCGGTTTCCTGGTACACCACCACCAGCAAGGAGTCAGATTACAAGCATGTAATTGCACGTGCTCATGAACCCTTTGGGCCGGGACCGCCCCAAAAGGTGTAAACACTGGACTCTTTCTCACCAGGTGGGTTGTAGTCCGGTGTGTTTCTGCCCCCTGGAGTGAGGCCAGGGAACTGCATGGGCGAAGAGGCGGCAGGGGAGGGACCAAGGGAGGAGGGGGAGGGGCCCAGCGAGGCGATCATCTCCATGACGCTGGGCAGCACCATGTGACTGGGGCTGAGCGTGCGACAGCGCTTCAGCTGCGGCCCGTCGCACTCCTCCTTCACGTGGACGTCCGGCTTCACGGGGACCGGCCTCCAGCTGCAGACCGGGTCGATGCTGATCTCTTCATACTCAGAGCTGCGGCACAAACAGCACATGTCACATCTTTTCTCTGAGGAGCACAAGGACTGGCCTCCTGCTGGTGTCGAGTCAGAACTAAACATGGGAAGGGAGTTCTGCATTTCAGATTTATGCAGAGAAATCTGGAACAGTCGTCCTGAAAATGTGAAACACGCTTCTTCAGCTTAACATTCCGGGGTTTTTTCCTGCCTTAACTTGTCTAGAGTAAAGATGTAATCAACTCGTGTAACAACAATTCTTGAAAATATTCTTCTTGACATGATTTCAACTGATTTTTTGAATTCCAACCAATAGCATTGTTAAGGTTTGCAAATTTTTTGTTGTTGTTGCCTTGTATAATGCTCCCAATCCATGTTAGTGTATGTGTATGTATAGTCGATTGTAATTTACCACAAAAAAAACTTGAAAAACACAAAAAGTGTGTGCACTGAATAAAGTTGACTCACTTCTGAACATAGATGAGAATAGCGAGCATGTACTGGTCCACCTCCAGACCTTCCAATAAAGCAGTTTTACTGAAAAACACAGGGACAAGTGTTCAGCCAATATTTACATGACAGTAACAGCAGCAATAATAATGCATGTGTGTGTCCTCACTTGCAGACAGGACACCTCCAGGTCCCTCTCTCACAGTTCAGCTGAAGGTACGACTCCAGGTCAAAGCACTGGAAACAACAATAATGTCAGACCTGATGCCACAGTCCCCGCCACCAGAGTCCCCGCCACCACAGTCCCCGCCACCACAGTCCCCGCCACCACAGTCCCCGCCACCACAGTCCCCGCCACCACAGTCCCCGCCACCACAGTCCCCGCCACCACAGTCCGGGTTCTTACTTGTATGTGTCGACAGTCATGGCCTCTCGCTGGCAGCTGGATTCGTCTGAAGGTGATGGGACATTTCAGAGAGACTCGGATGGCAGTTTGTTCTACTCCGTCTTCTCCATTCAGCCCGGCAGTCCCCGCCACAGAGCCCGCACTGAAGTTACGCTTAACTGAAAACAAAAAAAGATTTAATGAAGAGCAAAAATTACAGTACATTAGTGAGACTAATCACAATTATAATGCAGGAGTAAAGTAAGTACTAGCAGTCCTGATAGTGTTTAGTAGTACAGTCGTCTTACTCTTGGTGACACAGTGCTCGGCCGGAAGCAGCCTCTTCTTCATCAGCCCCTGGAGCACGGAGCGAACGGACGGTCTGTGAACCAGCTGCAGCACGAACAGGTGAGACTGGAACAGAGAGAATGTGCGGGTTAGAGGACAACACCAGGACTTTATATGCAAACATATACCTTCAGATAACAATAGGCTGCGTTTGTGTGACATCACAACATTCCAAGCATTCTGAAAAATCTTTCTTGGTAATTATGTAAAGTAGCTAAAGTCATATTTCTTAGTTTAGAGCTATAATCTTTTTCAACATTTACATGTTCCTACACATGTATTGCAACCTCCCCTCCAAATCAAAAAAAAAATATTACATAGATACAACAACCAGTCTTCAGGGGGTTTCCAGAACCATGAACACCCATGGTATGCTTTAGATGACTAACTGTGTGCTGTAATGGAACTTTAAAGGTGATGTCTGCAACTTCAATTGTATATAATTTTGAAAATAAAACTTTTTGTTAACCTATACGACCCTGTAGTATGATCTTTATTATGTATTTTTCATATAAATACATTTAAACAGTCTCTCCCCTTGGAATAGGCATCACCAGTAAGATTTTCTGGAGGAACAATGGGAAAGGCTTCATCAAGGATATGAATTAATTGTGTCCAATCAGGAACTGTGGGGGCGGGTGTAACTGGTGCTTGGATTCAAAAAACAGTTAGATACAACCATAAACTGGGTGCTGATGTCACCCACAGCAGATAACGCTGATTAGAGCCAACTCAAAATGTCATGAAGGGGAATGTGGAGACAAACTCTCTCTTAGCAACCAAAGAGCCAATCATTCCCAAGTTTCTGTTTGCATTAAGGGCACTTGTTTGTATTTTGACACCATGATACTGACCAAACAACAAGATCATGTGGAGTTAATTTTTGAAGACCGGAATGGTCAGAGACACAGACGGATACAGAGATAGGAGTTTATTTTTCAATGACAGTAAACTTGTGGGACTCACGCAGCAGCAGGCGGTCACTGTGATCTGGATGGTGTTGCGTCCGGGCTGACACACTTGCTTCAGATACAGAGGTTTGTGCGACGTCTTGTTGTCCCCACGCTCGATGGTCAGCGGCGTGGCATTCACACTGACCTGGCACGCGACAAACAGTAAAAGGCACAGGAAAGTCACGTGGACATTTTTGGTATTTATTTCCCTTGCTTCATTCTAATGTTCCTCTGCAAGTTGACAATCGGTTTTAAATTAAAAATAAACACAGCTGACTGTATATGTCGACAGTTTTCAAATCCTGTACCATAGTCTTAACGTAAGCGTTATCAAAATACAATTACTTAATCTGCAACTGTCAAAACTGGGTATAAACTTAAATTCTGACACATTTATCACACCTAATTATTATCAGTATTGAGTTCAGAAGATTTTTTAAAAAACTTTAAGAGACCAGCGAGAGTCAGAGAAACTGAAACTAGAAAGAGTTACCGTTTGTCTAAGTCATTGTTCCCAAACCTTTTTGAGCTGTGGCAACAATCACATGGCAGACCATCAGCTGAAACCTATAAACATGAATCTCCGCAGGATTTATCAACACTGAAAGTCATTCTCCTCAAAGTGAAATATATAGAAGTCACACAAGAACAAAAAAGTCTTTCTAATTACAGCTCACATTCTCACATTATTTTGATATTGGACCATTTCCAAAAGGCACACAATACAACATCAGGCACTAACGTAGCATTGCACACTGGTCTAAGCTAGCCACATTAGCAAGAGTTACATAATGATAGTCACACATAATAATAATGGATCTGTTGTATAGCACTTCATATGACACTCGAAACGCTTCAAGTGGCATTAATCATTCACTCCTTAGATGGTGGTGGTGTAAACTACTACAACTACTACCACTACTATTTATCACTCATGCACCAGACTCATAACAGGCAATATTGGTGGCATATCTAAACAATAGTAGTTTAAACACTGTACACATACGCATAGCACTTCCGACTTCTCATAGATCCGACTGTTAATTACTTACTAAATACTGTAAGTAAATATTTATAACATCAATATCTCTGTGTTAATATATCTTTACCAGGACGTCACATGTTTTACCATAACATAACAAACCCCTCTCTTGGTTCGTTTGGTTCTTTGAGCTTCACCTGTACAGACGCGGGCCAGTTGGTGTTCATCTGTCGGTCCTCGTGGTGGTAACACTTGAACTGCAGTTCGAGGTCTGGCCTGAGGAACAGTTAGAGTAACAAATATAAATAATCATTTTGGCAGACATAATCTTGAGCACATGTTTTAGAAAAGATCATAACGATAAATTGGAATAATAATACATCATACTTATATGCACTTTTATATGCACTCAACGACACTTTACAAGATAAGGTGCAGTGTAACAGCATCAGTGAGAATTACAAACCCCAAAGTTTGATTATTTATTTAGGTGACATATGCAGCTCTATCTCTGCGTATTGTTATCGAAGTAATCGACAAAAAGATTCTGCTGCCCGACCTCAGGATGAGTGTTTTGTAGACGGACTCGCGCAGCTGGAACACGTGATTGGACACCGCAAGGTTGTGCTCAAGTCTGAACGGCTCCAGAACCACGCCGTCCCGCACTGGAAACGTCAGCCGCAAGTCGTCACTGGGGTTTCCTGAAGACGACAGAGAAAATATACAATTACAAGCCATAAAGACTGGAGCAGAGTTCTGAGAGTGGTGGAAGAAGTCTGAGAAATGTGCAGACATTAATCTACAGTCGGTAGCTGCTGCTGTAATTGGTTTAATAAATTACTAATTCAAATTCAAACATTTGTTGCCAATGTTCCTGTATGATAAGCACACCCATGTGTAGGTGTCAGCTATGACACATGCACAGGTTTAGATGAACGGAGAGAATTGTGCGATTATTTTTTTGCTTTCTGTTTGGAAACTGAGCCTGAGAACCACATGAGTAAATGTGTGTTTACCGGTGCTGGGTGGAGGAGGAAGGGTCGCCATGTTGGGTTTGACGTCCGGCAGGAAGGAGGGGGGTGGGGGCTTGACGTCGTTGCCGGGCGACATGTAGGGCGGGGCCATGGAGCCATTGCCAGGGGTGATAGGTGGAGTTGGGTTACCAGGAAGTGGAGAACTGGGGTAACCAGGCAACCCTCGACCAGGCTGCAAACAAACACATATATGACTTCACTGAACAAAGTAAATTGAGACAACCTGCTATAAAATAGTAACTATGACAACTGATATAATGATATTTATAAAATCTATGTAATTCAAGAATTTGCTCAAACCACATATTAGGTTAGCAAGTATCTGTTTTTTTCAAACCAGAGCAAAAATAACAACAGTATCAGATTCAGCAAACACAATGTACACCTCATGTTGTCTGTGAAACGTCTCTTGGACGTCTGTCAAAGACGACAGATGAAAAATAGAATGGTGTTAAATCTGGTGCAGCCATCTTTTTATGTAACTGCACATTGTTCTTAAATAAACTAGCCTTCTCACGTCACAGCTCTTATTAAAAGGTTATAAATAACTAACAGACCAACACTGTCTTGTTTAGCGCATAATATGCTTTGATCTTTGACTCACCCCTGAGGACTGGTTAAATGTGCTGTAGACTCCTCCAGCGCCCCCTCCTGACATGGAGTTCAGAGCAGAGCTCTGACCGTTAAACTGCTCCTGCTACATAATACAACATTGTTTAATAGTTTATACCCATTTGAAACCTTTTGAATTATTTCAAAGTGTCATAGATCATACCTTGTAGAACTGCTGTGAGGTGGGTCCAGGCGCCTGGTACTGGGGGAGGCCCATCTTATGGGTCTGATACGAGGGGGAAGAGCCGGAACGTTGGGGGGCGGGACCTGGGCCAGCGCCTGAACAAAGAAAATCATGAAAAACTAAACACTCAAACACTTGTTTACAACATTCATGTAAAACAGGCTTATAATACATACACTATCAGTCAAAGGTTTTGGGTCTGAGCAATGAGAAAGGCAAGTGTTCCACCAAGGACTTGAAGAACACATACCCCGTAAACAACTAATAATCTCAATTTTTTTGATGGGTTCCATCAATTCCCATCTACACAACAAATAGACACACCATCCAGTAGTTTTGTGATTTCACTAGTCTGTTGGCGAGGTACTGGAAGCCTGAAGCCTTCCATCCATTTAAAATGAGCATATTTTCAAAATACGGGTTAGAAAAGAGAATATCAAAAGACAACCCTTGAAGTGTTGGAGCTTTTGAGGTAAAAACATTATGTCCAGCAGAGGGCGGATCATGCACAGTCAGTATGATTTAGCTTTACTAATCCTCTGCCACTGTGACCTGTCCTGCTCCATCCAGCGGCTACACCACCTCTGCTGCATTGGCCTAACGTGTTTCCTTTAATACTGTTGTTTGTTAGTAACCTTTAAAATAATGCATTATTTTGTTGTATGGATGCTTTTCTGCTGCTGAAATTCTCCTACAGGATGAATAAAATGTGTATCCATCTATCTAAATAGTACTTTTCCTTAATAATATTTGTTCTGACATTTGTGTCATGCAGCTTTATATCCTAATTAAACATTATTATTAGTAGAATATAAAGTTGCATGGCAATGCCCAGGTCTAAAGCAGTTTGTACCTGTGTGGTAGGACATGTTAGGTCCAGAGTAACCCCCAGGGACTGGCCCAGATCCAGGTCCAGATCCAACCGGAACCCCGTACTGCTGGGCCATCCCAGGGAACGACTGAAAAGATCAGCAAGTTTTATTAGAACAGCGTGTTTCATACAGAACTGTAAAAAGAATATGTCAGTAAATACTAATGGACAAAATATGGACGAACTGCTAAATGTAGACATTTTAAATAATCAAGGTTTGTGTATGGCAGTTAACCATGTCGCTTATTACTTGTGCCGTTCAAGTTAGCACCCAGTCCTAGATCTCACCTCAGAGTTGTAGGGCCTCTTCATTCCTTGTTGCTGCCTCATATGAGCAGCTTGCTGGGGGCCTGGACCATAGTTGGGATGCTGTGGAAGCCTCTGGGGTCCTCCGAACATGGGCCCCATGGACTGAGGCCCTCGATTTGGACCTTGAGCCATCCCAGGACCCCGAGGACCGGACATGAACTGGGAATTGTAGCCGGGACCACCCATCTGAAAGGGACAGGGAGAGGGTCACAAAATAAGCCAACAGCTGGACTAGCACTGGGCAGATCCTTGCAGTGTAATTATGAGGCCAGAGAAGAAGAAGAAGATAAACAGGTTTCAGTATCAGGAGCACTCACTGGTCCATAGTTGACCTCCTGGTTCTGTTTCTCCTGTATCGCTGCAGCCACTGTTGCAGTGGCGGTGGCAGTAGCTGTGGCGGCAGCTGCCGCCACAGCAGCAGCAGCTGCAGCTTGTGTGAAATCTGCGGAGCCTCGCGACGCACCGGGGTTCGAGGGGTAACTGCAACAGGCACAAGTGGAGAGTGTTATAGGGGCTTTTTTGGGACAATGGGCTTGTAAACATTAAGCAAAGACGCAAGGAAAAGACATTTATTGTAGTTTTATGAACTCATAAAAAGCGGTTTTGCAGAACCATCAATATATAAAATCCTATAATGCAAAAACAATTTCCTCTGTTGAGTCATTATGCATTCTATTCTTCAGATCACCCACCTTCCACCGTAGCCTCCTGGAGCTCCTCCGTACCCCCCAGGGCCTCTGCCATACATCCCCTGGTTCATGTAGCCTTTGTTGGGTTCGCCATAGCTCTGCTGCCCCATGTATCCTCCAGGACCTCCTCCCATCCCAGACGGGGGCCCCTGCATCATGGGCCCTGCAGACTGTGAGGCCCCTGGTCCCATCACGCCTCCTCCAAGGCCCTGAGAAAGAGACGAGTTGAACATGCAGGACCTCAAATGTTTAAAGTGAAAACAGTGAAAAATCTGCAGCTATGTTGCTCCCAATCAGTGTCTTTTATTTACAGACCACGATTTTTCACTGCGTTCACGTTTTGCACTTTTTTAATCTATCGCGCTAGTTCAGACTACAGGGATGTGCGGCCTTATTTGAAACCTTCTTGGACCTCAAATGTTTCTCATGAATAGATGAGATAACAGTTTCCCCCCAAAGTTAATGTTTCAACTAAATATTTCACCTGGAATAATTGATTAATTCAAACATATCCTAACGAGGAATGGTGGAGTGGTGTTAGTACCTGAGAGGCCGAGGGGTTGGTGACCCCCCAAACAGTGGTGACCACAGACAGAGACCCTGTGGGCTGGTTCTGAGGCTGCTGCCAACTGGAGTCATACGGATACGAGCCGTCACTGAGGAAGAAGACAGGAGAGAGTGTCAGATTCACTCGCAGTGATTTAACAGAGATGGGTATGTAAAAGTCTAAAGCTGGGATATCTAAAGATTTTTAACCAAGAGCCAAATACTGTGATATATATATATATATATATATATATATATATATATATGGCATACAGAGTAAAGCTAATTTAAGTGTAATTATAATAGAGTAATTAAATGTATTTATGACGATTTTGCCTGCCTCTCTGGTGAAAAAAAAAAGTGTTTTCCACAGGACCACTCTAGCGTCATTTCCATCCTCTACAGTCCTTCAAGTCTTCTCATCTACCTCTAGAACTAACTTTTGCTGCTCTTCCATTTTCGCCAAAATCACAAAGAGCCCCCCGTTAGCAGCTAACCAGCTACAGTCAACGCGTGTGGCGTGACTTGCACTAGCACAGCAAGGGGACATGTGATTGGGGCTGAGCACAGTGAACGACAGTGAGCAAAATTATCAATGCACACATTACATTTTTAATTGGTGAATCAAGGTAACATCTTTAACCTCAACAGTACATTAACCTGCATGAGGTTTTATAGAAAGAAGTTGTTTAACAGTCATTCAGCATAATTTGATTCTTATTCAACTGTAACATAATCATCAATAACAATAACATGAATCTTACTTGTGAGGGTTGTTGAGCCCGGCCTTCATCTGGTTCAGAGGATTCATGTTGTGGCTCCGTCTGATAACCCTGATGGAAATAAAAAACAAAATTCAAGCCGTCACCAACTCCTTTGAACAGGGACAGTATCTAAAACCCACCACAAACACAGACTGAACCGTCCAGAAAAGATTGTGTCTCATAAATATATTGTACCGAACTAAATTATAAAATAATACATGATTTTATATTGCAATCAAAAATCATTCCCGCATTGAGCATTCTATGTTAGAGTGTATCAGAGGTCTAATATACAGGCTAGCCAAAATAACACAGAATATTTCACATTCTTAGAGATTTGCCAACTGTGAACCGTTCATGATGCATTCGATCCTATTTTGTCTCCTTTCCCAATACTTGGGCTTTTGTAAACAAACCGAGCAATATATCTCTGTCACTGTCTCTTCTCCGTCTGTTCTGTTAAACTTTTACAACTGGACTTTGAACCAAAAGTTTTAAAGACAACTCTAAAATCACAACTCAAGAGAAAATTAGTAGAAGACTGAACACTCATAGGGAGAATATTGAATTGTAAAAACAAATTGAACGGCCATTTATTACCTAAGAACATTTGCGTGAGCCTACAAAGTCACAGCGTTTATCCATTCAAGCCATATACTGGTTATGTGTTCAAAATCTGTGTGAAAAATCAGTTAATGCATTCCCTTCCACCACATTTCTGAGCACTTTCTGTACGTCACATGACAAAATCACATGCATCTTTGGTGATCAGTTAATGACTTTAATAACAGCGACAATTAAATTACATAACCTGAATGTTGTGTCAACAACATAATGCATTTGGTGAGAAAATAAAACCAAATCTAAACAGCGTTTAACCTTGAGATTTAGAAAAATCCTGACAAGGACCCTGGTGTTCCACATCGTGGTATAAACTATTACAACTTTCATCTGTTCAATCAGAAGTTTTTCACTAGAAAAACTTTTGGTAAATTTATATTACATTTGGTCAAACATTACAAGCAAACAACTTTCCATTAAGGCTGTAACAAATAATTAGTCGACTGATATTTTCTTTTGGTAATCGTAGTCAACAAGTGGAATCTTAAGACCCTAAAACACAAAATACACTTTTATGCGACAGATAGAACCATTGTTTGATTTTTAATATAAAGAACAATACTTTTTGAAATTCCAGCAATAATAAACTTTGAATGTACATTTTCTCTATTCATAATTTAGCCTAGTCTCTAAAAATTACAATATAAAAGGGAAATCATCACTGAGAGAGAAAATCACTGATTAACCAAATAATCTGAAGTGACCCAACATCCATAGATCATGGAATGTACAGTCTATGGTTGAACCCTCCCACGAAACAAGACAGAAGTAAGACAGAACATTCTATTCAAGAAGATTCAATTGTTTTACAGGGAAATTGCATACAAATTGGCAGTTCACAAAGCAGCAAGTGTGTTTTACAATTAAATCCCCTGGCCACGAGAAAGTCAAAGATAAAAAATGTCTACCATACAGTAGAACATTCCAATATAATGTTCAAGAGACAAGCAGCTGGACCCTCCACCATAAAATCATAATGCACTTTTAAGTTGACTCAACTCTCCATGACCTCTATAATACGCGAAATAGCAGCTAATCTAATCTAGTTAGAAATGCAAAATAGTCAGAACGGAAAGTGGCTATGATGTATTCAATAATTGTGAATCCCCCATTAGTCATTTGCCGTAGCAATTACTGTTCGTCCTGGGGTTTTTAAAACATACCGTTCTAAGTCATAACATTCTGATTGCGGTGTAAGTCGTGCTCTTGGTCAAACAATATTAGCCAAATGAATTGGTTAATGTTGTTAACATCTGCCCTGCCCTCCTCCGGGCGCCCATAACGCGACCATCCAGGTGATAGTAACATGTGTTGTTCACGTCATACATTTTATGATAAAGCTGCGGATAACTGTATACATCAGATAGTTTAGCAGCGCTGTTCTGAACCACAGCGTCAGTCTGCGAGCCACACTGACAAAACAGGGGAGACATTTTGAGATTCCTCTGAGGCTGCTAACGCTAACAGCTAACACCTTTATGGCATTCTGACCTAAGCTAACACGGCTAACGTGCTAACGAAGCGAAAAACAACGACCACTAAAAATAATATTCACTGTAGCATCTTCCAATTTCACAGACTGGCAGTAACAACAGAATCATATCATTCACCTTGATTAACACAGATGAAATAGACGCTCTGTGATTAGAAATGTGTGATTATTGTGTTAGCTCGCTAGCATTGCAGCTACACGGCTGTGACAATGGAATGCCGCTGTTAGCCACACGCTAGCGCTGCCCTGTTACGCACATTTTACAGCTTTTATGTGACATACGAGGATACCTAAACCAAACCATGTCTAAAGGGGATATGTCTGTGCGTTTAGTCGCGTCGCTGTTATATTCACCGGGACAGCGCAGCGAGAATGGCATTTCAAAACAGCGGACCTACCTCCAGTCTCTCCCCGGTGTACGAGCTCTGCGCCCGGGTACGCAGCGCGACCTTTTCCGGGGACCTCCGTCACATTCAAACAGGAGCGTATCCCACAGGAACAGCTACAATCCGAGACCCAGGCCGCAGAGACTGTCCTAAAATAAATCCCCACGGTTCGACGATGCAACACACAGCGGCCCCTGAAGCCTTCTCCCACAGACGGACAGACCCAGGGCACTGCGGCGTCCCTGTGGCCGGCCTATGTGGCTGCTCGGTGGGACTCCGGCGGTGGCAGCATCCTTTGGTTCTGCTGGAGCCTGGAGGTGATGATGGAGGGAGGTGAGGAGACGGGTCCAGGAGCGAGGAGAGGCTTGACACAGGCAGGAATGGGGCCAGACTGTTTCCACTAAACTGAAGGAAGAAGCGCCTCTACAGAATGGAAGTGGTAGTGCAGCTGAGATTGAGCAGAGGAGGGAGGGGTCGAGAGGCGTCTGAATTAAGCATGGCTCTATTAGGAATTAAGCCCTTTTTACATCAGGTTCCAAATACAGCAAAAGTAGCTAACTAAAACTAACTTAGCTAAAAAAAACAAAAACAAATCTTAGTTAGTTTTCACATGCATGCATTTTCTGTCAGGAAAGAGAACAATAAAATGTAACTATTTTTGAATAAAATCCAGCAAATTTCAGGAAATAACATTTTCAGATGATTTGCTCCATTGAAATCCTTTTAATTTAAATAACATACTTAGTAGACTGGAAGCCCAATAGTAATCAGTATTATACACATTAAGTTATTCCCAGAACACCCCTGACCCCTGCTTTTCACAAAACCTAAAACTGGAATTTTATTTCAGATTCAGATTCAGATTCATTTATTTGCCATTTGCAGTAAAACCACATTGGAAAAACTGTGCAAGACTACCCCGGTGTGCACCAGACAGAGAGCCGGTATTCCTGTGATGGTCTGGACCTCGATCGCGAGACGACACACACCAGAGCTCTTGCCACGGCGCCATCTTTACGGCGCCATAACATTTCTCCAGACTCTATCACCATTGGATAAACTAGTGATCAAATTGTGTATTCCAATACAAACCTAGAAGATAATTCACCTCGGAAATTGGCAAAACAACAACACATTTTGTCTTATTTGCATGATCCTTGCTCTGGGAAAGTGCGAGGAAAAGTCCCCAGATTTTGTGAATAGAAGGAATGGAGCTTAAAGAATTATTTATCTTATTTGTCCCGCAATTTTCAGTGTCGCAACACACTGTGCATGATCAGTAGGACAATATGAAACACAATATTACATTTCAGTAATGTTACAATAATTGGAAAGTAGACTAAACTATCTAGATAATTTTGTAAAACATATTTAGTGAACATATAAACATATAGGTATGCATATATAAGTACTAAATATATAATAAACTAAATCGTTTTTTTTCACTCAAGTATAATTTTGGTAGCATTGAGTAATTCAGTATATTATTAGTCTTATAACTACACTTTTACTGGAGTATTTCCAAATATATAATAATGTATAATGACCAAATCAACCCAACTTCCTGCATGAGGTTCCCAGCTCTGGCCTCTTGATGGCGATACATACTTGAGTTTACTGCTGCTAAGTTGGTAAAATAGAGACTATTTTGGAAAACATTTTATTTCGGTTTTAAAGTTTTAATTCAGGAACAATTCAGACTTTAAATAATTGCAAATATCATAAAAATAGAAAATATTATGTACATAAATAGTAAAACAAACAAAAATAATTAAAACATATGTTTACCATATAAAAATAGCAATATCAATTAATAACACAGGCACAGAGCAGACGCAGGACCAAGCCAGTTTAAATTAATGAGCAGCACATCTATTAAGCTAAAATCCATAAAAAAAACATTTGGTCATTCATTTTACATGACAGAATGGCACATCTGTTATTGTTGATATTGCAGAGTTAACCCAGATTTTGTATTTATCTGACGGAGAAAGAGAGTTGAAAATCTCTTTGTGACTTATTTATGTGCAACTTATTTACATTCCAAATAAACGTTAATGTTATTTTGTTAATGTTACTTTTCAGAGTATCCGGTCATTACAAGCCTATTCGAAACATTGCCTCAGCATCATGTGACTCTTCTGAAGAGACATGTTAAGCAGGAAAATAAACAAGTTTGAAGACAGAATGAAAAATAATCAAATAATAAAATGCAGTGTAAGTATTGTATATGATATGGCATAAAAGCAAGACTGAACCAGGGGTAAAACTGAGACCATTGGAAAGTCCTGAAAACAAAGTCTAATCTTTTATACAGCTATAAAAACTATCAAACTATGAAACCCCACTATTATGTTTTATCTCCATTTAAAGCTTGTATCCGGAGACACTGAGACCCCTTTGAAAGACCTGGAATAGGTTGCGTTCATGTTGTCGAATTGTATTTCAGGTGAAAGGCAGGTGACAAAACAATTCTAAGGGAAAGAATAAGAATAGTAATAAAGAATAATTAATAATAATAATAATAATAATGATTCAAAACCGCCAACGTCATGCATGTTCTTTGAATATTGTCACCAGTTTATATGTACTGACAAAGAGGAATTTCGCTCTAAACTAAAACTAGATGTTTGACAGTAACTACAAGGAAAGACGCTACCCTCCATCACAATGTTAAACTATAGGCTCTATAGGTGATGTCACATGAACGCAACCTATTTGTCAATCACTGACTTGAAGAGATTTTCCTGGTTAACTAAAATCAAAAATACACATTTATACGTAAATAATATTTCTGATTTTATTTCTAAGCTGAACATGGTACCTGCTCATAGGACAGAGGTATCAAAAGCAGCATTGGCCTCCAAACACTCCATATCAAACTCGTTCTCAGTTTTACTTGTATATGAAGTTTGAAGCATGAGCCAGTATCAAACCCGAACAATGAGAATAATACGAAATGTCAATGGTACGATTGTCATTACCAAAAGTATGACCAAGTACTTATTGCAGCTTTGTTATGTCTCCTTCAACTGTTCAGATTGTTTATATAATTTTATTTATATTGTTAGTTAGTAGTATGATGTTTCTTTGTGGGCGGTTGGTTTTATTCTTTTCTTCACTGAAATACTGAAATAAAGGAGCTTTGTCCATACCAAGTTCATCCTGGTGGCACTAATGTGGTAGCATCTTAATATCAGGGTAATCTATAATATTAACCAGTAATAAACCAGGTCTAAACCAAGTCTAAACCAGGACTAATCCAGAACTAAACCATGTCTTCCAGGTCTAAACCGGGACTAAACCAGGAGACATTAACCCTGACTAAACCAGGGCGAAATCAGGACTAAACAAAGTCTTGACCAGCTCTAAACCAGGACTAAACCAGGCTTAAAACTTCCAATGAACCAGGACTAAACCAGGTCTAAACCAGGACTAAACCATGCTTACAACGATGAGTGACCATGACAGAACTTCCTCTCAGCAGGTGTTCTCAGCCGTGCGTCTCTTTTTCCCAGAATGCCTTGTTTTCCTGGGTTTGGCGGCACACACGCCTTGTCCCTTCTTGTGGCCCTGCTGGCGTGCGCAGGTGAGGCCCCCGGCGCACTCACAGCGGCCCAGGTTGGATCGCCGTTGCTTTGCTCTCAGCAGACACAGCTCGCCCTCCGTGGGGATCCTCTGGCACCGTTTGCCCGTCAGGTACCGCACACAGCACAGGCCCACGGCGCAGTCTCCGGAGCGCACGCACGGGGACATCTCTGCAGCTGAGAGAGAGCACAGGTATTTTATTTATTCAAAGAGTTTTACAGACATCAGATATTTTTCCATTCACTCCACAAACAGTGATGAGGAAGCGAGACAACGAACACACTGGTGCATCAAAACCCCCAACCAATACCATTCATCGATCCATTCAGTACATTCATACCTATTGTATGGTAGGGGAAACCAGAGCACCCGGAGGAAATCTATGCAGACACGGGGAGAACATGCAAACTTCACAAAGAAAGGACCAGGAACCCAGTTTGACTTTTATGAGCTTCTAACCATTGATGCATCCACGATAATATTAGGAACTAAACTCTGCCCCTTCAGTTTAAAAGTTCCTGTCTAAGTCCTGTAATAGTATGATGTCATTGTTTTACTATGACATCACGCTCAGAGTCTATAAAACAAAAGTATTGTCTATATATTAATGTAATACATTTCTTTGGTGAAATGAACGCTGTTTACAAAATGCATGTCTGTGTTTGATTTAACACTAACACAAATTTAACACAAATCTTTAAAACTGGTTTAAAAAAAAAAAAACTATTCTACACCGCCCCTGGTGGTAGCACAGGGAGCTGGGGCAGATAGCACTGTTTAACATTGATGCTTGTTCCACCATTCTATTTTCTACTTTAAGATATTACTTCACATTTTCAAAACATAAAATGACAAAGTAAATAGTCTCATCATTTTAATGGACAAAAAATAATGCATCATATTTATTCTTTAATTTATATTTTTACTGTATCCTTTTCATAATATTCAACCATTGTGACAGTCCGACTGAAATAAACGTGTCTTTGATGATTGTTTCTTATAGATGTCCTTTAATAATGATTTAAACCGAAATTAATTTAGTTTTAGTGATTTTATGGACAAATAATTCTATTTAGTCGTAGTCGACAAAATGCCCTGTTAATTTGGTCGGAATGATCGAATGATCTTGATTATAATATTTTACAAAAACTATACCTCTGGTCCGGTTGAAGCCTGAGTCCTGGTCCAAGTCCAGATCTGGGTCTTGCTCTCTGCTGGGCTGCCTCTTCTGTGGTCTGTTACTGCACGAGCCCCTCTGAAAAAACTTTTTACATTAACATTTTTATAATCCTTTACTCAACCATTGGATTCCCATCATCCCACTGTGGAGTTTATGAAAGAAATGTAATGTGTTAATAAAGTAATGTTTCAGAAACATTGTTTTAGCTGATTAGTCATGATAAACTGAACTTTATAGTATATATTTTTGATAAAACCCCAGGATGGAACAAAGACTCACCGGGGGAGCGCTGCACTCTGGTCCTGAACACACAGAGTGAGACCTCCCTGATCCTCGCCGGTTTGATCTTTGAGCGGTTCCATTTGCAGAATCCTGGAGAAAGAAAAAAGTAACCTCAAATTTAAAATCGAGTGAAAATCAAAGCAAAAATTCAGCTGAATAGTGCCCTCTATCTGAGGCATCTTCAGGTAATGCACGGCTGAGAAATCATGACACTGACCTACAGTCTTGTAAATATTACAGTGCTGGTAATTGATTGCTTAAAAATGTCCTGAAAGTTTAAATATTTCTTCACTTTGATATGTACCTTGCTCACAAATGCATCTTTGGACGACCTGATCGTGTTGGAATCCAGAGCCAGACCAGAGACCAGGGCCACGCAGAAGAGAACCCCAAAAACAGGCCTCATGATCGGATACAAGCGAAGCGATGAGAGGGAGAAGATCTACACAGAGCTTTGACGAGAACCAGGCGCGACCCAGACGAGACCAAGACCGGATTAGAACCAAGACCGGTCTAGACCACGACCCAGATGAAATTCTTCCAACAAATTGTCAAAGCTTATTGTGCTAGCTTTGAGCCCATTTTTTTTTTCAACAATATGTTCATGAAGGTTGAACAGAAGATGGAAAATATAAACGTCTCCTAATCTTTAAAGATAATAGACTGTAGAATATGATTTCTGAGTAGGTAAAAATGGTTAACCAAATAGAAAAAAATTAATGGCAAACAAAGTGAAAAGTCAAATGTGAAAAGATGACTTAAAATCCACAAATTGTCTTGAAAGCTGATCATAGAATTCCCATCGTCTGCTGTTGCTGGAGCTGTCTGTGCTTCTTATACCCCCGCAGGCCTCTGATGTGGCTGCTTGTTTTTGAAGTTCTTCACACATCAGAGCACGCTTCCTTCCTGTGTCCCCCCAGGTGAGCCCCCCCCCTCACACACACACACACACACACACACACCTGTCTCCTCCCCCTTCCCCCACACCTGTCTGCCCCTGCGCGTTTGAGGTGGTCGGCCCCAAACGTATTATACGGATTTACAGGTGATTAAAGGACATTAGGCAGTTCAAACGGCCGGAAGCGGGTGACAGACAGATGAATCGACCAATCAGGTAGCTCTAAATCTCTCCTCCTGTTCGCGCCTTTGTTCTACAGACACTTCAAAATAACCACAAACTAAAGAAGAAATGTGTTTTAATAATGATTTGAAGTCAGGCTAAACTTAAAGCTGGACTAACTTTGTGACCTGCCATGAAGAACAAACTAGTAGAATAGATAGATTTATAGATAGATTGTATTGTCCATTTGCTCACATCTGCAAATGCAGAATTAATTATCAAAAAATATTAAAAAATAAAGTTGCAAGGTGTCCAAGTGCAAAGAATGAAAATAGTTAAAGGCATTAACAAACAGATACATTATTATATCAAAATGTTATATCTTCATAATATCAATATTAACCTGTAAAAAGACTCATCCACACAGAATGGAAGAGTACAAATGTCCCATAGCTGAACGAGTTGGTAAACCAACACATTTGTAGACGCTCATGTAAAAATGTGAATCTGTTGAAGTAATATTTATTTACAGTATAAATATGTACATGTATAATATAGGTAATAGTATATACATGTATTGATTTATAAACCCTTTATTTAATTTTCATTTGTATGTTTTGCTGTGTGCTTTGTTTTTGTTTATCTTGTCTGTATGTATGTAGGGATTACGTTTAAAAACACAATAAAAATTTAGTTTGAAAAAAATAAAAGAATTGCTCTGGCGACCTCTGCTCCTGACCGAGCTCCTAACGGCGAATTGAAGGATAGGTCAATATAATAAGTTAACTTTACTTTTAATTTCATTCAACAGTCATTATAGAATTATCTGAGTCATAAAACCTCTTCTCAGCATGTTTAAGTCCATGTTGGTTATTTGAATAATAAGTTTACTATAATAAACTATATCAATAATCGATTAGTTGCAATTAACCGATTAACCATAGTCACAACCTCAATACACAAACTCACTTTTTAAAAAGTGTTCAGCCAACATTCAATATTCAGTGTTTAGTAAAGAAAATAAATGTTTCACTGTATAAATTAGATAATTATTTGACTCAACTTTTTGGGAGAGAAAGCACTAACCGCCCTGCAGCCATTTTATATTCACTTCATCTAAATATGTGGGAGGGTTCAAAATGGTAAAGTGACACATTTACTTGAACGCGGGAGACTGGAGCAGAGACTGGAGCAGAGACTGGAGCAGAGACTGGAGCAGAGACTGGAGCTGAGACTGGGACAGAAACTGGGACAGAGACTGAAGCAGAGACTGAAGCAGAAACTGGGACAGAGACTGAAGCAGAGACTGGGACAGAGACCGTGACAGAGACTGGAGCAGAGACTGGAGCAGAGACTGGAGCAGAGACTGGAGCAGAGACTGGAGCAGAGACTGGAGCAGAGACTGGAGCAGAGACTGGAGCTGAGACTGGGACAGAAACTGGGACAGAGACTGAAGCAGAGACTGAAGCAGAAACTGGGACAGAGACTGAAGCAGAGACTGGGACAGAGACCGTGACAGAGACTGGAGCAGAGACTGGAGCAGAGACTGGAGCAGAGACTGGAGCAGAGACTGGAGCAGAGACTGGAGCAGAGACTGGAGCAGAGACTGGGACAGAGACTGAAGCAGAGACTGGGACAGAGACTGAACTGTTAGGGCACTGGAAAACTTTGAGGGTCACACTTGTCTGTTTTTATGACGTGTCGTTGTTTGCAAAGGATTTTGAACCAAGACTGGACCAGGAATAAACCGGTTGCAAACCAGAGTCAGTGTCAGTTTCAGGAAACCTGAGTAAGTACACATATTCAGTTTTGGTCATAATAAGCCAGCACGAGAAAGTTGTTCTTAATGTAATACTAGCTTCATAGCTAGCATTATTCTCCTTTTATTCTCCGTGTGCTGTTTACTCTAGTCAACTATTGTGTTTCGGCTGCAAATATAATCATTTACATAACTAGTTCTACATCGTTAATGCTCCACCCATAATTGCTCTGAGTGGTTTAAGTATAATTCGAAAGTCTAAACAGCCCGAATCTTGGACATGTCTGGTGAGCGAACCACACCACACATGTAAACATGCCCATAGTGAGACACCACACGAAGGACTAACCAAATTGATACTTTTCAACTCCAGAGCTGATAAATTGGCCACAGATAAAAAAAAAAAAGCTTCACAAATAATAATAATATAATAATAATAAAATGTAATGTTTGTAATGATAAATGCATTAACATTGAGCATTACAGTTTACATTACATTAATCATAATATTTTACCTTTATATTCTTTAAAAAAATAAAATAATATTTTACAAAGGCATTCTCCAGTAGCCTCCAGTATTTAGTCGTATTTTTCAGTAGCGGAAAATATGACAAAATACTGGAAGTATTGTCATCCATCTTATTTTTTTTACTGGGGGAGTCCCCAGACCCCTGTAAGCAGTTAGACTTAGTCTAGATGTGTTTGGACATTTTGGGAGTTGTAGGTTAACTTTGTTTTTCTTCATCTAGTTCTGGTCCTAGTCTAAACGAGGACTAAACCAGTTGGAGCCGTGTAGAGGAGCAGGTGAAATGGATTGTGGGTGCTCCTCTACTCGTCTGGTGCTGCTGGTGGTGGCTATGGCTCTGCTGTTGGACGGTCTGATGTTCAGTTCTTTTGGTGAGTTTCACAAACCAAGTCAGGGCGGCGATATATTGACATTGTGTTTTTGAGTTGTTTTTGTGCGTAACATTTTCCACGTTTGAGCAAATCCTTCTTTTTATTTTCATAAAATACATTTATTTATTTATTTTTATTTCGAGCTACACAACACACAACACAGGCACAAAAGCCAGAAAAAATAAAATAAAAATAATTAACATTCTAGCTCGAAAAGGAGTGGGAAGAAGACAAGCTTTCAACCACAGAAAGAAAATTATATAATTTCACAGGAACTGTGACAAACCACTCCGAGCCTTGTGAGTCAGTATGGGACACTTTGGGCAGAGAACTGATGAGCCGTGCACATCTTTTTGTTCTTTTAAAAGTTCTGGCGACAGATTCCAAAATTATGCATGAAAACTAATTGTAACAACCTGTTTTTGAGAGCTAGAGTTTCACCTTTTGTAGACTGACAATAAGGTATAACAATATTGTATATTAATAAGGTATACCAATTTGGAATAACAATATGGTATAATAATGAGGTATTATAAGGTATTATAATAAGGTACAATAATGTGGTATAATAATATGGTGTGATAATAAGGTATTATAATAAGGTATAATAATGTGGTATAATAATATGGTGTGATAATAAGGTATTATAATAAGGTATAACAATACAATATAATGATATGGGACACCAGGTTTAGTCAATGATATTAATTTGATTGATTTTTATCAATTTGAAAAATGTGTTAATGGCTTCCTGGGTGGAGATGAGCTTCAGATATTACATATTCACCTCCTCCCTACCGCTCCTACTGATAATTCTCACATGCACTGAGAAACCCTAAAATTGATCATGTTCCTCATCACAGACCTGGAGCTGTTTTTAGATCCAGTCACGCTAATATCAGGTACATCTGTAAATCCCCACCCTCAGTCTAAACTTGGGCTGGTTCAATGGTCCCATCTGTTCCTGAGTTTGCGTCACTGTGACATGTTTCAGATTGTGATTGGATAAAAAAATAGACTTACAGTCTCATTTTTACTTCTCATATCATTTAAACTTATATTTTTTTGTCAAGATAAAATTTCATTCTCTAAAACGTTCTTTTTTAAGGACATAAATAATGTGTATTATTTCTTCTTTAATCTGTATAGCGCTGTAGAAGTGTCTTATACTGGCACAGGATATGACAACGGACTAAACATTGTAGAAGCAAACGCTTTTATATTGAACTTAGAAGCATGGCTAACCACTTCACACCTGTATTAGTCAATTTGAAGAATGGGCAAACGTTCTCCGATTGCTTTTAGGTTCACACTGTTTTTATGTTGTGACATCATTTGCAAAGGCGAAGTAACTAATCCAATTTCAAAATACTAGACAGAACATATATTTAATTTGACTGCATATGGTAAATAGTAAAAGTGGTCAAGTAAAGTACAGCTCCCAGAAAAAAATACTTCAGCACAACAGTGTAAATATTGTTACACCTCAAACAAATAAAACTACATCTGAAATGCCTCTACAACTATAGAACAACAGGGTGTAGTCCTTTACCGAAGGCAGACACTGAAGACAAAGGCTTTTGTTCTTTCAGGTGTAGGATGACCTGAAAACTGTAAAACTGTAAAACTGTGTGTAGTTTGGTGCGACAAAGTGGGGTGGGAAAAGACCATAGACTGTATATATTAACGGACAGAGTCACGCCTATCTCCGCCATTCTAACTAATGGGCCAAAAAATTTGCTCTACTGGAGCTATCCAAAATGGCCACGAGTGGTCCCGCCCACAAGAAAATGGTGAAAAAACGCATCTGCGCATGCGTCAGCTGGCGCAGCTCCATTCATTTGAACGAGAGACTTCAGAAATTCACAGCAAGTAAACTAGAGTGGACCAAAAAAATTCACCCCCCTCAGCATTGACACACATGTGGAACGGAGCTTTGGGCCAAGAGCCAACTTTTGGTCCATCCTGTAAAGACGTTTTTGACAGGTCTGCCAATGCTATATGTTAGCATTGGCTAATTCTTCTTCTGGGTCCACCCCCATCGGCCCGGGGTGGTATTGCAAGCATGTCAGCGCACGTCATTTTGGTCACTTTTGAGCTGGGACCTGCCCCCACTGGAAAAGACACAAACTTTTTGATTCTTTTATATTATTGTGTAATAGCATTTTTTCTTCAAAAAACGTTTATCACTTTTTCACATTCAATTTAAATAAGACGTATCATGCTTTAGGTAAGATATATGACAACCATCAGCCATCAGACATGGCGGCTGGCGCGGCTGTGCGTTCTGGAGGAGCGGGTTGCCTTGGATCAAAAGCCAAGATTTGTGTATATGAAATGTATGATGGCAAAGTTTTTGTGGAGGATGAGCTGTTAAATTTCAGTGTCGTGAAAATGAGAACACTGGCTCATGACGAAATTGTTTTGCTGGTATCAAACAATTTCTCCTCTGAATGGATTGAAGAGTCCAAGCGGGTATTGTTTGAATTGTGCCCGACATCAATACGTTGCGTAAAGCACAAAGGGCCGCAGAAGGACACCAACAACATAAAAGACTGTATAAAAGTGCTTAATGAGTGTGGAGACAACATTCCCAGATTCGTAAATACCTGGGGCATTACATGTCTGCTGACTTATCAGACGACAGGGACATCTACAGACAATGTCGCATGCTCTATGGCCAGGCCAACATGCTGATCCGCAGGTTTGGTATGTGCTCACCACCTGTCAAGATAAGACTCTTTCGGGCATATTGCACTCCCATGTACACAGCCCACCTGTGGAGGTGCTATAAAAAGAGCAGCCTGCAAAAACTATCTGTGGCATACAATGATGCCATGCGGATGCTGCTGAGGGTCCCACGTTGGAGCAGTGCCAGTGCCATGTTTGTAAATGCAGGTGTGCCCACTTGTCCTGCTGTACTGCGCAATCTCATGTACAGGTGCATGTGCAGAATGTCCCACTCTGTCAACAGCATCATTGCTGTATTGACCAACCCAGGTCTGAGTTCAGTGCGTTATTTCTCCAGTATATGGACTCACTGGCTTCAGAGCCTATACAGGAAATGACTTATCCTTTAACTTGTACTTGTTTTTTTTGTATGTGTCTTTTTGTTTTTCTTGTTATATGTCTTTTAATATGGACCTTTTATTCTTGTGTCCGAAATAAAGTATTGAATGAATGAATGGATTATAGCTGATCTATCAAAAGGATAACATTGTAGGGTACTATTTTAACTCTTACGTGGAAATGTGCTTATGAACAACAAAGGAAGTCAAATTCTACTCTTTTACTACTATTTGACATCTAATAAAACGCTACAATACTCATACTTTATCATTTTCAAAGTTTTTGTCTGTCAGATGTCTGAATACTTAACATGTATATTGCATTTGTCACAGTTTCTGGTTGTAGCAATAGCATCGGCAATAGACGTTTTCATTGGCTGGTTCTTGTTCTGCAAATGGCTGTGTCCAATAGATCATCAGATGTCCAGAAGCTAGGGACAAACAAAAACAAAAGAAAGAATCATGAGTATCTCTCTCATTTAGCACTCATCAATGTATGATTTTAAAAATATAAACATCACTCCCCAGTTTTCTCTCTCTCAGGTCCTCAGGTCCTCAGGGTCCCCTGAGGGTGAGTCTCAGTCGTCATCAGGTCAGGTCATATTTCGAGAGATGTCATCTTGGACATCAGTAGGGTCCAAGCCATGGTTCTGGTCTCTCCAGATGCACATCAGGATCTCCAGATACAATCTTTTCACTTGAAGCACATCAGGTCACTTGGGATGCACTTCTGGTCAATGGTGCAGTGTCACAGTTCCTGTACACAGCTTGTTATGCAGTAGTTACTTTCTATGGTTAAATCACTTTGATTCTACTTTAACACAATTTCTATTCATGCTGTTGCTAATGTCCCTCAGACAAAAGCAAGCGCAATGATTCAGTTTACTTCTCTAATTTGTGTTTTTATCAGATCTAATTCTAATCAATGTAATTACTTCACACAGTACAAAATCAACAAATCAAAAGTGTCAGGACAGACGTCAATTATGTCCATGACAATATAGAATTCAAATGAACATTTCTGGTCTCAAAAAATACAGATTCAAGTGATAGACAATTAAAAATATTTGTTTACATTGGAGTAAACTTTTAAAATGCTTTTTTTCATGTTCTGCTTTTTCATGTATCTATATGTAAATGTGTGTGTGTAGATGTATGTGTGTGTGTGTGTGTATGTGAATTTTGGGGTTGTGTCTCCAGACTCCTCGAACCACCTGTAGGTCTCAAAGGTCACACTGTGGTGATGTAAACAAGCAAAGTGGGCACACTTCCAGATTGCAAAACAACTCACCCACCACTGCCTACAGAAAACCTCACTTTGTGGCCCCGGTCTCACTGCCACTTACGACCATCGGCCTGTAGTGGGGGAGGGGCACACGGAGGTAGCTATGTCGCCTTTACGATCTGCGGCTGGTTGGATGGTGTCTACTCTGGGCCACTGTTCTGATCCCTCTGTGTCCACTCCAGCAGTCCAGTGACCCTGTACAGTGTGTGCCCTTGGTTCTGGAAAACAACCTTATAGTCAAATTAAAAACAACAGAGATTGTGAATGAGATTGTTTTTCTCCCTAAAGTCAAAACAATTTTGGAGCGCTCTGGGCTTTCCCACATGCGCTATGTAAATAAAAGATTACTTATTATCTTACTAATGATGACACTTTTAAGACCAGAAACTCTCTCTTAATAAAAAACAAGACTCAAATCTCTTAAACCTTCAAACTTTAAAATATGTATACTTTTGTACTGTGTGTTTAATTATCTTGCACATTTTAGAGCCAGTCTCCTCTGCTGTGGCATCAGCAGCAGTAAGGTCAGGCGTGTAGTCAAAACAAAAACAAAAGTCACCACTTGCATGTGAATTGGGTAGTTTAACTTAATAATATAATTCTTTTACAGCTAATGCTAAATCCCTCTTTCTTTTTAGACGAAGTCT